TTTTTAAAATAGTTGGTCATACGGCATTGTTCTGTTTGAAATATTTACTCTAGGTGAGTTGCATAACCCTCAGCGTTAAATGCAGTATTGACACTGTTCATGAAACCTCTACTGTTTGTCGTTAGGCATTTCTGAATGACGGTTTCTCCAAAACTCGTCCCCTACACCCTTGCGGTTACACTTTTTGCAATTACCGCTTTCGGGCTTGAGTTGAAAAAGCGCGTAACCCATAGAGATATCAGTCCATTTCTTAAAAGAAAAGGGATTTCTATTATCCACTCATTATTTTTTTTTCATCACATTTTGACGTGCGTCACGAAAACTAGGTCGAGTACATCAAATCCAGACTTCCATGTTTACTTATGAGTCTCCTTGGGTCTAAAATGAAGAATATCCGGCAATAACCATAAACCTCGGTTTTGTGTACTAAACCCAGTGTTCCTGGTTTCCCGTCCAAATGTACCGACTTGATACCATTTCTTTTAATAGGAGGCGTGCCTTATGCAGGGTGGAACGAATGGAAAGTTGTGTATGAACTGAAAGTGAACAAATATCGGATGCCTCAACCAGAACATGTCAGTGATGAACTGTAAGTGCGAATTAACCAATCTTATAAGATTGGTGACTCGTATGGATTTCTATCTTTTATTGTTGCCTAAACTATATCCCTACAAGAGGCAAGAAAATAATTTTATGTCGTCTTTTTAGCTATCTCAAAACAAATTTCTTTAAAAAATAGCAATATAACTGAATAGTGAATAAAACTTTAGAACTGAACGGACCCATTGAACCTAGCCGATCAAAACTGACAAACGCCTTCTAAGCCCTTAATGGTTCCCAAATGGTTCACACCTATGATCAAATTACCCGGTCGACAATAAATTTTTGGTCCTGTTTTTTTCCTTCGATACCCCTAATCTGTAGATATCAGCTTATGGCGGATTGTTGGAACGAAGACCCTGACGCCAGACCCACGTTCGATCATCTTCATGAAGTAATGACTGGGTTTTTGCAGGAAGAGGTAACTATTAGCATTAGACAAAATACTCTCCTGATTTGCTTGTCTATTCATGCCATCTCAAAAAGCGTTCCATTTAGTCAAGTCTGAATTTGATCCATTGCGTGGCTTAAAATTGCCATTGGTCGCGAATGGCAAGCCTCCATATGTGGACAGTAGGGGCACGAATTTCCCAAAGTAACTGGCAGAGGATAGAAATAATCTGTATAGTATCAAATTCTACTGTGAAAGGCCTATATATACTTATTCTTCAAGAATGTTTTAGTAGCGGCTAGTTGCCGACCCTATGAAATAGTGTGTGTAGGAGCTGCAATGTGTTCATAGTCGAATAATAAGAAGGCTTATTAATTTTATAGAGTAAGGGTCTCCGTTGTTAGGATTTCCTCACTACATCTTTTGAATGTTGCAGTATTAGATGTCTTTTAATTCCATGCCATTTTTTCAGCACTATGTGGATATGTCAAAGTATGAACCAAGTCTTTATGCAAATGTGGAGGAAATGGTCACTTCTTCAGGTCTTGCTTCCTTTGATAATTTGACAACTGTGCTGTAGAAGATCAAGATTATGACCAGAACATGGATTAAAACTGTATAGCTAAAAACCATTTTACTGCTGTGATTTATAACTGTTTAGATTGAAGGAAATAGTCTTTAAATGCGTGCAATCTGTAGATAAAACAGCATGATAGGTTCTTGAATTCTTAAATCCTTAAGGTTTTTTTCCTCGCAATAGTTTGTCATATTTACAAAGCTACTGTTATGGACCAAGGAAATGACATCGTCAGTAATAACAATTTTAATAGATAAATAAATATATAATGATGATAGAAGTAACAACAATGGTAATGATGGTAATAATAATAATGATGATGACGGCAATATCAGCTCCGATATTGATTTATTATGTCCCAGATCTGGAAAGAAAAATTATAATAAAGAAACTGAAAGTAGAAAACAACGATAATAATAATGATTAGAATAATAATGATAATGGTGATGAGAGAAAAAAGTTTTAGCCGAGAGAGATAAAATAACTCAAATGACAAACGGAGAACTTGAAAAACAAATAGTCTCGTTATCTTGGAAGGCAATAAGCACGCAGACATTGTCATCATCAGCAGTAACAACTCCGAAGACAACTGTGTAACAACAGCCACTAAGGCCTGTATGGACAATGACAGTTTCCTCTAGCTGATAAAATTTTCCTTTTTCTCTGTAAATTATTGCTGTAACCCAAAACCCCGACACTATTGTATCGTACGCTTTACATGATCATTAAGGCTTTTCTTGCTCAAAATTAAAACAAGCTAAAAAATTCCAAATCAATACTGTGTGTAGCAGTGGTATTGGTCAAGTCGCACGACAACTGCAAATGTTAGGGATTTTGGTAAACTATCATTTTAGCTCATAGAGATGAAAAAGATCACATAAAACCTTTTTTCAATTCTACTGTATAGGACTTAATTTCTTATAATTACAAACTGGCATATCGAAGATTGTTTCATTTAAACTTGATGGAGATTTAAGCTTGATATTTGAATCGAGTTGAGTTTACGAGAATTTGAACGAGTTGAAGGAATTTTCATTCGTATTCTTTTATCAATTGTAACGAATATTTTTTTCGCAAAGTAAAAACTTCGCCTATGTGACTAAATCACCTGGAGTTGCAGTAGATGGCCGGATCACCGTTTCTTTTTACAAGCAAGATTTTTCTACCATCTCCCTTCCTTAATGCCTGAATAAAATGAAACCTTACTTAACAGCGATCTCTTCTGGAGGTCAACCGCTGACGTAACAAAAACAGACAGGATGCAAACAGGGGTGCGAAATCGTGGGAATCCTTTACTAATGCTCTAAGGAAAATCAGAGAGAAAATATAAAAAAAATTCATGTAATGTATTACCCCACGCCCAAGTGGGGTAATACATACAAGTGTAGAAGTAGATTCCCTGTCCGTCAAAACTATTGTCACCAAGGAGATGATCTGACTTAAATGGCGCGCCTCAACAGATAAGAGAACTAAAAAGCTGCAAACAAAACGAAACAACTAACAAACGAACAATTGTTTTTTCTTTTTTCTATCATTTTATTTCAGTCAATTTCTTTTTATTCCTATCTTTTTAAATTGCTTCATCTCCTTTCGTTTTGTTAATTTCTTACGACTCACAATCTGCGCCTCGGTTTATCTAAAATTCTGGGAGAAATTATAAGATGAAAAATGCTGATTTTTGAGAGACTGTCATTATCATCATCAATGTTAATATTTCTACTTACGTTCTCTAGATTCTTCCAAGTCATATCCTTGTAACTTCCCAAAGCTTTAGGACACATTACTTTCTTCAAAACGAACACAGAAATTATTTTGTCCGTCCACAAAACCAAATTTCGTTAATTGAAAAGCTAACTTATTTTTCTTTTCGATCATTTTATTTCAGTTAATTTCTTTATACTCGTATCCTTTTAAATTGCTTCCTCCCCTTAAGCTTTGTTAATTTCTTTCGACTCACAATCTGCGCCTCGGTTTAACTAAAATTCCGGGAGAATTTATAAGCGCAAAAAGTTTCGTCAAGTTACATGGCTTGCATGAGATGTCTGATTCTCAGCATAAAATTTCCGCCACATGCAATTATTAGAATGTGTAACCACGGCCAGCATCAAAAGAAAACGAGAATCACTTCGTGAATTTTACCGGGGCCACTTTTGCCTTGGTAACCCACGTTTAGACTAGCATGCATCAGGGTTGTTTACATCACCAAGACTAGCATGCACATCAAGGGTTATTCACGTCTTTATCCGCAGTTCAAATGTATGACTTTCACATATTCTTAACCGTCTAATCACCAAGTTTGTCGCGCGATATGCAAGTCTATTTTATCACAAATATTCTTTTGAGAAAAAAATTGTAATTCCGGAAGACTTGTTCCAATAGCACACAGTGCCCGCGTTTTTAAAAACTTTAGACGTAGTATAATCAATATCACTTTGTTTTTTCCGTATTTACGGGCAATTTTGGTAGATTTTCAAAGTTTTTGAAAGCGATTTAATCGGTTGCCATGGAAACTGTATTGTTTACACTTCATTTTCTGTTTTAGAAGACTGGTGACTAGTTTTCGGAATACAGGAAACTGTATTGTTTACACTTCATTTTCTGTTTTAGAAGACTGGTGACTAGTTTTCGGAATGCAGGAGACACTTTAAGGATACATAAACAACGTTGTTTAGTAGTTTTTTAGAATTATCCCACCCAATTGTATGGTTGGTTAGGCAAGTGTGCTCCGATAAAGCTGAATTTTCCTTTTTGCAAAGAAAAACCGCTTTTTGGTGCTCTTTTAACCGTGTACCAAACTGGCGTTTGGTCTGTCCGATGTATTCGTAGTGTTAAACGAAACAAAAGGAGATTTGTTAATATTCAATACACAAAGAGGGAAAGCGCAGCGACAAAATCGTTCTAGATCGAGAAAAAGCAAGCAAAAGTAGCGGAGAATCAAAGTGTGACGAAGGCCACGTGGAAACCGCCGAACACCAAAATACTGAGAAGCGCTTGCCAGCTTCTGTTCGCAGACTCAAGGAATAGTGCAGTAGAAAGCGGGGCCCTGGAAACGAGACATTGAAAAAACGAAAGGAACAGACAGCATTTTATAACCGGTTCCAGCCTTTGGCTGGCCCCGGTAATAAATAACAACTGTTCAAATATTGCTCACGGAGCAACACTGAGTGACTAGTCAGCTGGAAAGAGAGACATCTGCGGTGTTTGCCTCTGAGAGAGTCAGAGATTCAGGTTTTGCAAAAAAACAGAAATGGATGTAAAAATAGATTCATTACGATTCTGCGCAGGCAAATGTTTTACTTTTAATTGAATTCCCACACAGCCACTTGTAAGTTCGTTGAAGTAAAGTTTTTACACGCCTAACGGTCCTACATACATTCTTTCTCGTCTTTTTCCCGTGAATCTTTGCAAAGCCTTGCTAAACAGAAGCTTCGGAGTGGAATTTTGTTGAGGTTTCGATGTTTCCACTTTATTGCGATTTATCTGAAAAATTAATCAGCTTTTAAGCTGTTATTCATCATATTGCCATGCTCGTATTGCATAAATCGCCCTCGAAGAACGTTGGCTGAAACGGTTTGTACAGTTGTGCAAATTATTTCCGGGTTTCTACGTTGCATTAGCCTTGAGAAATTCGATTGCGATAAAACCTGACCTTCGTTTGCTGGGACAACCCAACAAACTTAGCGCACACGATCATTGGAACTACATAGGACAGTGTCACTAAAGTCCATCGTGTTTGTAGGCTTGGAAAAACTAGGAATAAGGTAAACGATCATGATTTCGCATTGTACTGTTGTGATGCAATTAGACATCTAGAATTAAAAATCAATATTAACCTACTGAAACTATGGCTAATTACTTTCAGCAGGTTTATTGATTTTTACCTCATATTATTGAAATTTAATGAAACAAATTAGTGACAAAAAATATACGAAGTTAATCGCAACGCATGTCGCACAATGGTTTACGTCCCGATTGACATTACTTAGTCATCCTAAAAACAAATTTTCGTCTAGCTGGGAGTTCGCCGTATATATTGTACTTGTCTGGAGCCTATAAAATAAATGATAGTAAGGAGCACTTCATCACAGATGCCAAGTTATCAGGGCATCCATCTTTATCTCCAGAGATATTTAAAGAATTCGGACAAAAATAAGTTAGCATTTTAAAAGCAGCCAGAAGGTTTAAAAGTGTATTTCAAGAGAAGGCAGAGCCAGATACATTTGATTATTTTTGATAGTTATAGATGCTGAAAAATTAAACAATTTTGAAGTGGTAAAAGGGATTGATTTCAAATTTTGAGTTGAGAAAGAAATAAGAAAGAAAAAGATCGATCATGACATTGTACTTTGACATTCAAGTGTTATTTGAATCCTTGTTATTTGATTAGCGCCTTGCTGTGTGTTTTGCGTTAAATTGTATCCGTTCCCAGTCATTGAAAATGCTATCGCATGTAATGATTTTCACTGTTAGTATGTACTGAGTTAGTGATAGCTTTATGTTGTACAGTTGCATTGGGTCTGAAAATTGTAATTCTAAGTAGAGTGATCTCATGTTGTGTGCTCATTCAATTTTGTATTAAAAGAATCGTGCGTAACTTCAGATCAAAGTGCACTCCACTCAGTGAAATCACCACTATTAAATCAATTATGAACGGATAAATTTCATGCCATTCAAGTTGACTTGTCTTGAGAATACATACTACAGTGGAAGGGAATATTATTTATAGCATTTGTTATTCAAGTGATAATGAATTGTCCAGAACAGTGCCAAAGGGGATTATTGTAAGGCACAATATTTACCTATTTCTCAGGCCCTCCAAAGAAGTCCTGAGTTTACAGTTCAGGTTTTTTACATTTCTGATCCATTTGGAATCTGAGGGGCATTTGTGATTTCATGTTGACTTCAAAAACTTATTGAAAAGTATTTGAGGGGATTAAATGTTGTCAGAAGCTTTTCATATGTTGAATAAGTGTAAAAATCATTTTAAGACTGTGCCTTGATTTCATAATTACAGCATCTTGGTGCATTCAAATATTCAATTAGAATAAGAGTATAAGTTGTGGTTGATCGCATTTAAATTTATCTTAGTTTGGGTA